AATAAAGGAACATACAAAGATCTACCCCCCTTGGCACGCTAGGGAGGCCCTTCTCTAGGTGTCTGCTAAGACAAGCTTCTGACTGTGTATAAACCTTTCTTCATTAAAAATCACTGCGTTAGCAGTTCTCAACCTGGTGATATATTTAAGTGATAGATGAGGTTTGGAGGGAGTTAATACAAATATTTTGTTCACTGAACTGGACAGAAAGATCGCCCATTATCAACATTTCCCAGGTGCCAGAGCCACCCCACCACACTGCTAGGTAATGAATTGGTTGATACAAACACACTGGAATGCCTGCTGTGTGTCATGCCCATGGCCAAGCACTTTAAGTGTGTTATCTTATTCCTTTTAACAACTCTATAAGGCATAGATGGTAACAACAGAGAAACTGAGGATCAAGAAGTTAAGTAATTACTCAAGGTCATGTATTTAGCAAGTGACAGAATCAGGATTTGAGCTCAGATCTGACTTCATTTCCCTTGCTGTTAACTACCATGATGTACAAAGAAATGAGGCTCTTCTCATGGTGAAAGCACCATGGACATTATACCCACTTGATATTTTCCTCCCTTCCTTCCTTCCTTCCTTCCTTTCCTCCTTATTTCTATGCGTCCATCTATCCATCTTTTTATTTTTGTAATCATTTATTCATCAAGCATTTACATGTTGTCTCTACCATCCCAGGCCCTCTGCTAGACACTGGGATACAGGAAGTCATAATGTAAAGTTTATGGCCTCAAGATTCAGGCTGGTGGATGAGACAGATACCAAATCATACAATTTCAGCTCCACTGTTATTAAGGTTTGCTAAAATAGTGTATATCCAGAATGCTGTGGGGACATAGAGAAGGGCTTTTCTAGTTCTGCCTGAAGATGGGGGACTAGATTGATTAGAGGTAGTAGGGTTGTCAGGAAAGGCTTCCCAGTGGAGTAGATGCTTGAGCTAAATCTTGAACGTTGTCTAGACAGACTAGGAACAGGGAGCCTCCGGGCTGAAAGGCCTGCAAGAAGAGTGGTGAGAGCTGGCATACAACCTGATCAGCGTACTGCAAGCAGTTGGTGTGACTGGGCCCAGGATGTATGTCCAGGAGACTGGGTTGGAAGGCTTTATGGAAAACATGTACTTTAAAGGATCTTTTGTTTTTTTTCTAAAGATAGTGAGTGAAAGGTTTTAAGCTGGTGAGGGTGACAGCATTTGTGTTTCTGAAAGGTCCCTCTGGTAGTGGGACTGAGGGTGAAGTGAATATTTTCAGGGTGAATTTGTAATAGAATTCATGCGTTTCTGAAATTTACAATTCTACCAAGTGAATTTGATTGAATAATTTCTCTTGTTCAAATAGAACAATACAAGGAAGGATTTTCCAGAAGTGATGGAATCAGCAAAAAGGGATGTTTGAACAGCTATTATAAACATGCCCCTAATGTTCAGGATAACAGAGGCAAACATGAAGAGGAAAGAAGTAAAAGATGTATATTTTTAAAAATCCAAATGAAACTTCTTGAGATAAAAGTCTAGTATCTGAAATGAAAAGCACTCTAGATGAGATTAAAAGCAGATTTGACACTGCAGAAGAAAGAAGTTAAGAACTTGACGATGTAGCAGTGGAAACTACCCTAAAAGGAGCTCAGACAGAACAATGTGAAGGTCTTGCTTCTGCCTAAAAATCAGTGGGCATTTTCTCCCTAGAACTTTACCAGAAAATTTAGATTTTACTGTTCTTGTGTGAGCTTGCTTTGGCTTGACAAACTTTATGATGTTATTTATCCGTTTTTTACTTTCCATTTATGGGGGTTTGTTTTAGAGAAAAGGAAATCTTGACAGTCTTGAAAATCCTTTCTGTGACTTCCAAGAGATGAACTTCTGAGCTGCAACCCTCAGGATCTATCTTTCTGTTTTGCTAATGCCTGACTCACTCTTAATATTGATTTTCATCAAAATAAACAGCACAGCCCATGTAGTCAGAGTTCTGGATATCTCAGAATCACACATTCTTTCATTTTTAATTAAAAGAAAACAATAAGCATTCATCTGTCTGGTCATCATACTTTAGTGTGTTTTGCATTTCCTGAAGAGAAGAGTAAATTTTTATGAACGTGTTAGATCACATTTGGTAGAAATCTGGGTTGCTTCCTGGAATGCTCCTTCCTGGGACTTTCATACATGAATTAAATACCATTTATATTTGTGCCATACACGTCTGTCTCTTCATTAAAGCCACACTGGCCTTTGCACATAAAATGTATATTGGTCCACAATTAAATGAAATAAATTTTTCTAGTGAAAAATTTTAGCTTTGTTTGATGAAATATGAATAAGGGAAATTCAGTTACCTGTACTCATTAAAGCTTTGGAGATAGTATGTACAACATCTCCCTGCAAAGGATCTCTTCTTGGCAACAGGCTGCATTTTGCATCCGTTCATTATTGAAACTTCCAGTCTGCTCACAAATTCCGTGGTACCTGAAAGGGACTACTCCTTCCATGCCAGCCTCACTCTTGTGGATCCAGTTGTCTTATACTTGTTTGTTAGTGTTAGATATCCTTAAAGGCACAAAGGAACCAGTAAATCTATGCAAAATGTGCAAAATAGGGAATTTTAATCATTTTCCTCTCAGATGTTCAATTAAGAGTTAATAGGGGGTGAAGCACTGTTTACTGCTAAACTTTACTGATGACCCAGAGAAGACTTCCGTTAGTTTGTGTAATATGGAGTGAATTATTTCTTCTTTTCCTTGCTGTGTTTCCAGTGCTCAAGACAGGCTATAGCACAGCATAGGCACTTTGCACATGTTTTTTAAATGAATAAATGATACCACACTTTACATTTACGAACTGGGGAGAATAATAGCACTTGGCTCAGTGAGTCTTTTGGCTTTTGGATCTTAGCCTGTGACATTTGCTAAGTTTGTTTTGAGGGGATTTGGGGGCATCCATGACAATCAAAGCAGAATTCTTCTGATACCAATGTTTGGCTTTCTGCTTTGATCAATAGACTTATTATTTGCCCTTGAAACCTCTGTGGTGCTAGGGAATCACAGACATTCCTCAGGATGATTTACAGGCAGTAAATAATCTGTGCTGTCCATTGCTTGCTTCATCACTGTCTGCCCTGTTCATAAAACCCTGGAGGCTCAGTGGCCCTAAGGCTAGAGCATGGCGGACACGTTAACTCCAGTTACAGATGTTTGTACATAGAACATGTCTCTCAGTTTCATTGTTACTCTAATATGCATCCAGGATTTATCTTTAAGGACTGACCCAACTGTAGAAGTTATTTTCCATCTGACTTTATTATAGTTACCATATCATTTTTTTTTACCTCTGTTGTATGCTAGGTGCTAGATATATTATCTCATCTAATCTTCACAGCCACCTCTAGTAGATTATACCTTTTTTATAGATGATGAAACTGAAACTCAAGGAGATGAAGCCTATTCTCTGAGGTCACATAGCCCATGAGCAGTGGGGCTTAGGTTTGAACTCAGGTCTCTCTAGACACAAAGCCCTTAGCTAAATACACCATGACATTTTCTTCATCTAAAGGGCTTTTCTTCTCTATCTGCAAGTGTTTTGTGTTGAAGTTAGTAACATTTTGCAAAGAATGGTATGTTTCTCATACCATTCAGAGATGAATTTTAAATTTCTTAACAGCATTGTAAATACATGAAATTTATAGTGACAAACCTAGCCAGATTACTTTCTTGTTATCCATCCATTTAGTAAATTTACAGTTCCCATTAATTTTAATCTGTCCTTATTACCTGTTTTATATAATAAATATCTCTTAGTCATGACAGACTGAGTATAGATCACCTGAAGTAGGCTCTCTCTCAATAAGCAGAGTTGCAGCTAAAGATTTGTGAATTAATTGGGAAAATTGCAAATCAGGTAGTCAGTGAAATAATTCATTGTCACATCCAATCAATAAACTTTGTAAATCAACTCATTTAATTCAAAAAATGATCTATATAGATCAAGCAACCAATTAAACAATTAGCATACACTTTGCAATTAATTAATTTAAGCATCAATCATATAATTAAAACTCCAAATTTAAGCTACAGAATTTAGAATTCTAATGCCTTGTGAACTATTAGGTTCATGCTTCTGAATGCTAGCAGATTTGCAGTTTCACAATTCAGCTTTGGTACAGGGTATTTTAAAGTGTTTAAGTTGATTTCAGTTTTATACTGTCTTTATGTTGGCATAGTTTCCTACCCTTTTTCAGCACATTGTCTTTTTATTTCCCTCAAAGAAGGAGGAGGAGGTGTGTGTTAATTCTAAACTAGGCGAAGCTGGAATCTGGGAGTACTAACTGGGCATTCTAGGAAAGTAGTTGAGAAGGCCAGAGATAAATCTGGTCATTTGCTTTTATTCTGTTAAGCATCCTTGATGTTTGGAATCAGAGCCTGCCAAGTGAGCCTGCTATTCTTCAGAGAAAGGAGAACTGTAAAGATTGTTCTTGGTTACATTGAGTATGTCTTCTGAGCTAGAGCACAGATATTTTCTTAATCCTGAACATGAATCAAGAGTTTCTGATTCCTCCCCTGAAATAATTTTTTCCTGCCTTATAATTTTCTTTGTCTCTCTTTTATGCTACTGATTTTATTTACATCCATATTACAGCTATTGTAGTGCTTACTTTTTTGAAACCTCTGCCATAGTGTAAGCTTCCTTTGAGGGCAGATACTCAATCTTTTATTTGAGCTAAGAAGTTAAGTTCTGTGTCTTATCTACAACAGGTGCTCAGTAAATATTTGTGGGAAAGATGGTGTAGAATAAAGGCTCCTGTTTCACATTGTTTTTCCTCCCCCTTTGCATTGCTGTCATGTATTTTCTCTTTATCAAGTGAGGTGGGATTTGGGGGGGTCTATCACCGGACTTTGGGGTAAAGAACAACAGTGTCCCAGTTTGCTTGCAGTACAGCGTAGCCTCTGGTCTCTGCATCCCTCCCTTACCTTGGTATTCACTTGCTTTTTGGTTTTCCTTACAGTGATAATGTCAGTGCCTACTGCCTACATATTGCTGAGGATGACGGGGAGGTTGACACAGATTTCCCCCCACTGGATTCCAACGAGCCCATTCATAAGTTTGGCTTCAGTACGTTGGCCCTAGTTGAAAAGTATTCATCTCCTGGTCTGACATCCAAAGAGTCACTCTTCGTTCGGATGTGAGTATTGACTCTGTTATCTGTTACTTATCTCACTATCTTATCTCTGTCTTCTAATATTTTGTATTTGGTTTTGGTTTTGTTCATCAAATGAATGGTATTTGGTATCTGGAGAGTCGACATGTAATGGTTACTCCCAGAGAGATATTGGGGACAACATTTGCGTTGCATTTCATGCCTGTGCACCTGGATTAAATACAGACTGTGTTGTAGTAGCAAATTGTATTAGGTGTATCTCTGAATGACATATCTATGAACAAGGCCTCTGCGACTGTTGGAGCAGTTTGGAGTCCATGAAGCAAAACTTTGCTGTTTCCCTCTTTCTATTTCAAGGAATCCAAACTAAATGAAAATATGTATTGCAGTTACTTCCCTCTTATACTTCTTTTTCTCTCCAACTTTGTTCAGATCAAATTTGATTTTTCCTTTTAGTTGCCTTCCTTTAAACTGAGTAGAGTTTCTTAACCTTTCCTGTACCTTTGGGAGTCTGGTAAAGCCTACAGAAGTCCTTCTCAGAAAAGTGTTTGTGAATGCAGAGGATAAAACTCACAGGAGTACAAAAGAATTCCATTATATTTAAATAGTTATCAAATTGTTAAGCAAATTTGTGATTTCAAAGTAGTGATGAATATAATGTATTTGAGAAGTCCACAACAGCTGTAATGTGCTGTGACGATATCTAGGGTTTCTGTTCATGACAGAGTCACCAGCATTGCTAATAACTGCTCTGATTTCTCGACCGCGTTCATAATGTAAGGAAATGCTAGATATCAGAAGTTAGTTAAAATAAAAAGTAAGTTTTGTCCATTCACGTCTATAGAGCACCTGAGTCTTATTACACACATGTCCTGTTTGTCAGGGGAAAACCTGCAGCGTTTTCTCAGCTTAAGCTTTTCTAACAGAGGCCAGGGCAGTCCCACTCCTGGCCATCTCCTGGGAACAATAGTGATCCCTTTGGCACCCCCTGCTGTTAGTAACCAGCAAATTCACTGTCCTGAAGAAGGATTGCTTTAGAGGACTTTTCCCCATCTTTTAAAAATATATTGCCTTTGTTTCAGA